CTCTACTTCCCCTATTAGTTTCTCCCTGTTTGTGAGCAGAAGGTCAAGCTGCGCACGGCCCCTGGTTGGATCCTTCAGCACCTGTGTCAAGAAGTTATCCCCAACATTCTCCAAAAACTTCCTGGATTGCCTGTGTACTGCCGTATAGGTTTCCCAGCAGATGTCAGGGTGATTAAAGTCCCCCACGAGAACCAGGGCCTGCGATCTGGAAGCTTCGCTCAGTTGTCCGAAAAAAGCCTCATCCACGTCATCTACCTGATTCGGTGGCCTGTAGCAAACACCAACCACAACATCAATGCTGTTGTTTGCTCCTTTAAACTTAACCCATAGACTCTCAACAGGTTTTTCTCCCTCTTTATATTGGAGTTCAGAGCAATCGTAGTGCTCTCTTACATATAGTGCAACTCCTCCTCCTTTTCTCCCCTGCCTGTTCTTCCTGAACAGTCTATACCCTTTCATGACAGCGCTCCAGTCATGCGAGTCATCCCACCAAGTCTCTGTTATCCCAATTAAATCATATTTCTTGGTCTGGGCCAGGGCCTCCAGTTCTTCCTGTTTGTTGCCCAGGCTTCTCGCATTAGTGTACAAACACTTCAGGTAACCAGTTGATCGTCCTATCTTCTCCATTCGAAACATGGGTCCTCCTTTCTTGCCCATTCCTCTCTGCATTTCTTCCCGGTATCCGACTTTCCCACTCCCCTCAGGGTTTTGGTCACCGTCCCCCGACGAACCTAGTTTAAAGCCCTCCTTACTAGGTTTGCAAGCCTGCCCGCGAAGATGCTCCTTCCTCTCTTCGTTAGGTGGATCCCATCTCTTCCTAACAATCCTTGCGCCCCGAACAGAGTCCCATGGTCGAAGAAACCAAAGCCCTCTCTACGACACCATCTGTGCAACCATGCATTTACGTCCTCAATTCGACGATCCCTGCTCAGTTCTTTCCCTTCACCAGGGAGGATGGAGGAGAATACCACTTGCGCTCCAAATTCTTGGTTCCTTCTTCCTAGCGCTAGATAATCCGCAGTAACACGCTCAAGATCATTCTTGGCCGTATCATTAGTTCCCACGTGGAGAAGCAGGAAGGGGTAGCAATCCGAAGGTTTGATCAGTTTGGTAAGCCTCTCAGTGACATCCTGAATGCGAGCTCCCGGTAAGCAGCACACCTCTCGAGATTCCAGGTCCGGACGGCAGAGTTGGCCCCACACTAAAATTAGTCTACTCGTGTGCCTTTGCTAATAACACCCACCTCAAAGAAAAACTGGAAAAGGTTCAGAGAAGGACAACAAAGATAATCAAGTGTATGGAACAATTTCCATATGAGGACACACTAAAGATTAGGACCATTCATCTTGTAAGAGACTAGCAAGAGATAGTATGATAGAGGTCTATAAAATGACTTGTGTTGGTCGAAAACTGTGCTAGTTATCCTTTCCCAAAAATCAAAACTCAGGGTTCACTCAATGAAATAACTAGGCAGCAGGTTTAATACAAACAGGAGAACACTTCAATCTCCCTGGACACACAATAGCAGATTTAAAGGTAGCCATCCTGCAGCAAAAAAACTTCAGGACCAGAGTTCAGAGAGAAACTGCTGAGCTGCAGTTCATCTGCAAATTTGACACCATGAACTCAGGATTAAACAAAGACTGTGAATGGCTAGCCAATTACAAAAGCAGTTTCTCCTCTCTTGGGCTGTGTCTACATTGGCCCCTATTACGGAATAGGGATGCAAATGTAGAACTTTGGAAGAGGCAAATGCGCGGGGGATTTAAATATCCCCCACGGCATTTGCATTTTCATGGCCGCCGCTTTTTTCCGGCTTGGAGATAAGCCGGAGAAAAGCGTCCAGACTGGCGCGATCCTCCGGAATATAGCCCTATTCTGGAGGATCTCTTATTCCTACGAGATTGCTCTGATCTAGTATCCTGTCCCAGGCAGTGGCCAGTATCAGATTCTTCTGAGGAAGGTACAAGAAACCCTGCAGTGGATAACTGCAGAATTACCTTGCTCATCTAGGAAGTGTATTCTAAACTCTCATCAGTTCATAGCTGGCATCTGCCCTGAAGCATGAGGCTTTACTTTCTATCTAAAGTTACTGTGGATGTTCCCATTGTCCATCTAAATGTCTCGTCCTGTTTGGAATCCTAGTAAGCTCTTATCCTCACTGATAAATTGTGACAAAGAGCTTGCACTGGTTAATTCCATGTCATGTAAACAAATCCCATTATCAATCTTCAATTTGCTGCCTTTCAGTTTTGTTGTCTGCTCTCTGGCTCGTATATCATGGAAAAGATAAGCATGGCGTGCCCGATTCATCTCTGCACCAAGCTAGTGCCAGCGCCACAAGGAAAACCTCATGCAACTCTTTTAGCCAAGGTTTGGAGTCTCATTTTGCTCTCTTGCTGGGGTACATCAGGAGTCACATCCCTGAAATCATTTGTTGTCGACCCTTTGAGAAGCTCTGTCTTCAGTGCAGAGTTCACTTGAGCTCTTCCCTGGCTTTTAGCCCTAACCCCCCTCCCCAGCCATATGCAAATCTTGCCCGAGTTCAGTTGTGTTTCAACCCAGGCTAGCTGGTTTGGTGAGTTAGCTCCTTGGCTCTACAGTCAGTCAGGCAGTAGCCACTCACTTTGTAGGCTAAGCGTGTGTCTACACAGCAGAGCTTCACTCGAAATAAACTACACTTTCACTCGAAATAAACTACAATTTGAGCTATGTCAGTGGCTTATTTCGAAATCGGGAGCGTCTACACAGCACTTATTTCGAAAGAGAGCATTCTTCCTCCCTGTGACAGGGCGCCTGCCCTGCACTGGCCCTTTAAGACCAGGACTCAGGCCCGGAGCCGGGGCTAGAAAGAAAGAGGCCAGCTGGAGCTATTTGGGGCTAGGGAGAGCCCAGCTGGCAAGCAACTAGGGCAGCACTAGTGGCTTGTAGAAGCCAGCTGTAATCATTAGGGCGAGTGTGAGCCCAGCTTGGAGGTATATCTAGAGAAGCACAGGTTGCTGGTGGGCGGGGGGGAGCCAGTGGAGAGCTGACTGCAGAGGAGGCAGGAGCTCCTTGGAGGGAGACAAGCTGGGGATAGCCAGCAATAGCTGGAAGAGGGCTAGCCAAGATTCCCCTGGCTAGGGGCAGGAGGCAAAGCCCTGGTTTGGAGGCGGACCTTGATACAGCCTAGGTAAGCAGGGCAGTTGAGACAACCCCGATGCCTATGATGAGCAACCCATACAGACTGTAACTTGCCCTGAGAGGGGCTATATGAGGACAGTCAGGGGGCACTGAGGTGCACTGGGGGCGTGAACCCCCTGACACTCCCACTTCCCTTACTCCTTGTACAATGAGGGTTTCAGGAGTCGGACTAAGCAGTCCCCCAGCTTGACAGTATTTCGACATTATTTCGAAATAACTGCCTGCTGTGTAGATGTGGACTAAGTTATTCCGAAATAATGTTGCTGTGTAGACCTACCCTTAATCACTCCAGTGTTGGTAATGCTGCAGTGCCTTCCCACAATCCCCCGCTGCGTCCAGGACAGACATTCAGTTCTCTCACAATTCACTGGGAAAGAATCATAGAAGAGCTCAGTTCACTGCAGCATAACAGACCACGGGATGTGCCTCCAAAATCCTATTGACACACATGGGAGTTCAGCACCAGTGAGGAGACAGTAAGACCGGCAGGGCTTGGCAGTGGTGCCTTGTACCTGGGCTAGGGCCAATGGCCAGTTAGCTCTGTACTGAAGATGTACACTGAACACAAGCAGAATGAAGCCGCAGCATCCAAAGCAGCAGAGACAGGAAAACATACTGAAAAGAGACTAGTTAGCCAACAAGATACCGATCCAGGTTCTGATCTCACCCAGTTTTGCACGACCTATTTGTATTATGGTAGCACCTCCAGATCCCATAGTGAGGGCCCTTTGCCATGTGCAATACATACACATAGTAAAGACCCTTCGGTCTAAACTGGCTTAGCCCAGATCTATATTAGTAAATCTCCCTCAGGGTCACCGTGCATTGTACAGTGAGTGCCATGGAAAAAGTCTCCAGTTGTGACAAGTGATCAAAAAAAGACATGGGGCTGGATCTATGAGACCTTGAGCCTGGAGGGTAAATGTCAGTAACAGCCATTCTTCTCTGTGACTCGGGACAGGGCTGGCGTCTTCCGAATGCTGGGCAGATGAGCTGGGATGAAATGCACTGACCCTCCACTCCCTCACTCCCCGTCAGATCCATGCTCTGATGGAGGAAATTCCCAGGGCTGAGCTTCAAACAGCGGGGAGGCTAGAACAGGAAAAGAGAAAACGCTGAGAACGGCAGCAGCTGAGGATTGCTTTAGTCACTAAATGTCGTTAAATTACACTTAATAGAACCCGCCACTTCTTGTACCATCCGTATAACTTAGTGAGGACAATTCATCCCTGGATCCTTGACAAGCTGCCTGTAAGTATTTGCAAACACCCCTGTTCTCCCATCCCTCCTCATTCCTCTCAGTTTAGTTTCTATTGTCTCCGCATGGATCCACTCCGCTTTCACTCCGGTTTTCTGTGACCTTCTTTGAACTGCAGCGCTCAGGACTGAGTGCAGTATTGCCCCGCAGGCCAGAAGGGTGTCAAATGGAAGAGACTTGATGGACAAGTGAGATGCTAATTAATGAAGACAGTCCAATGCCCTCATCCTGCAATGAGCTTCTATTTTATAGAAAGGGACTGTGATGGGTTTATATGCAGTGAATACCTACCTCTGTAACCCTCTGTCTGCAGTCTGGGGTGCCCCCTCCTCCACTTCCTATAGATCTATTTGCCTATCCCTTTGTAGGAGCCCCACGTTTACTCTTGTCTCAGTTCTCCCCACTTCTCCAGTATACGGAGCCCGTATTGCATTTCAATCCTTCTCCTCACAAAGCAGGGGAGTTGCAATAACACCAAGCGCTGGATCATCGGAAAATGGTGCCCCCTTGGGCTCCTGGTCACAAGGAAAACTCTGAACGGTCTGGAGCTCAGAAGGGACTCCACTCCATACCCTCCTGCCCTAGGAATCATCCATAGATGCTGTCAATCCCCTTCCATTTACTGCACCTGCAGGTCCTCTTTGCAAAGGGCACAAGGCCCCATTTCAGAGGCCTTATGCTGTGCTCACTCTGGTTTCTTTCTCCATTGACCTTGTTACTCTCTTAAAAAACCCAGGGACCCAGCCCTGCAATGCTTCATCAATCAACCCCCACTGGTGTCCAGGGGAGCTCTGCCTGATTACGTTCCAAGGAGCTGATACTGCTGGGTGCTGAGCGACTCTTGAAGGCGCTCACTGAAGACAGAGGATTCTCTGCTCCTTCCAGCATGTTGCTGTGAGAGGACTGCCTGAACCAGCCCCTAGGCTGGCATGGCTTTTGATGATGTCGTTCGGCTCTTTTACCCATGGTTCTAAACCTCTCCCCAGCGCATTTCCTTCTCTAATCCCTTTAGGGGGCCCTTCCTCCAGCCCATAATTACCAATCCCCAGCCTCAGGCATCCGCCCAGGGCCTCATCCAGCGCACATAGGAAACAATAGACCCTGCACCAGGCCCCTAGACACCGATGTAACATGGTGTTAAAACAGCTGTGTTCACACTGGAGCCATTCCCTGCCCTACACAGGAACACCAGGGAGTTAAAGAGTCACATGCATGGCCGGATTAAGGGGCTAGCCGGGCAGCTGCCCAGGGCACCAACCTATGGGGCGCACCTGATGGCAGCTGTAAGGGGCAGTGCGCGCCCGGGGCTGGGGGCCATGCAACGCCCCTTAGAGCTGCCATCAGGCGCCACGTGCCTGATAGCAGCTGTAAGGTGTGCCACATGCCAGGGGGCAGGTCCGCGAATGCGCCATGCACCTGGGGGCGGAGCTGCACATGCATCATGCGCCCGCTGCCCGGGACACAGGAATGGCTCAAGCCGGCCCTGGTCACGTGAAGCTCTAGCCAGCACTGAGGCCATCTCTACACTACACACTTTTGCTGGCCTACCTACACTCACTAGGGCTGCATCTAGACTGGCATGATTTTCCGCAAATGCTTTTAACGGAAAAGGTTTTCCGTTAAAAGCATTTGCGGAAAACAGCGTCTAGATCGGCACCGGATGCTTTTGCGCAAAAGCACTTTTTGTGGACAAGCGTTGGTGCCAATCTAGACGCGGTTTTGCGCAAGAAAGCCCCGATCGCCATTTTCGCCATCAGGACTTTTTTGCGCAAAACAGTTTTTACCTGTCTACACTGGCCCTCTTGCACAAAAGCATTTGCACAAGAGGGCTTTTTCCTGAGCGGGAGCATCATAGTATTTGCGCAAGAACACTGACAATCTTACATTAGATCGTCAGTGTTCTTGTGCAAATTCAAGCGGCCAGTGTGGACAGCTGGTAAGTTTTTCTGCAAAAGCAGCTGCTTTTGTGGAAAAACTTGCCAGTCTAGACGCAGCCTAGTAGTGTGAAAAAACACCCCCGCCCCTGTGCTGGTAAAAGTCTCCATTTGCTGGTATAACCTATGTTGTTCTTGCAGGCGTTTTGACAACACCAGCAAAAGAACTCTGCATCTCCACAAGGAGCTGTGCTGGGCTAGCTCTATTGATACGGCTTTCCCATCAAAGCCTTTGTAGCGTAGACTAGCCCAGTGGTTTTCAAATCAGGGGTCATGACCCAGTACCAGGTTGCAGAATGTCAGGCACTAGGTCTTGTTGCTGCAGGGGGATCAGGTGACCAGTGGGAATGCTAAGGCAGCTCCCTGCCTGTCCTGGCATCGCAGACTGTGCTGCGCCCCAGAAGCATCGGCAGCAGGCCTGTCTCCTAGGTGGGAGCGGGGGCCAGAAAAGCCCACAGGGCTCCACAAACCGTCCCTCACATGGAGAACTTCTGCTCACTCACATGGAGAACTTCTGCTCATCCTCGTAAAGGCCTTCTTCCCTCTCTCACTCAGCTTTGGTACAGGCGCTCGAACAGGCGCCGGTCGTATGCCAGCGTTCCACTGGGCACTTTGAGCTAGGATCTTCGCTGTGGCTTTGGTAACAGGGTACCCTGTTGATTGATGAGTAGCCCAACTAGGGCGAACAGCTCTTTTGGGGCCAGGGCCAAGGCCTGCAGATAGGGACATCTGGGAAGAGAAAAAAGGAAAGATCATGTTCTCCCAACAGTCCCAGAAGGAATACAAATGAGCCCTAAGAAAGCAATCTCGTGTCCTTTGTTTTTAAATGACATACAATTATAGCTTTGCTCTGCTGGAGTCACCTGTGCTCTGTTGTTATAATTCCACATATCTGTGTAGTAAACTATGTACACAAGAGCACATCATATATTTATGGGGATAGTTGTAGACTGGAAAAAAATTCTCGCCATTCATGAATGACAAAGGAAGCCAATGAGAAGTCGCTGCTAAAGAGGGCTTGCCCACATTCATTGAGTCTCCAAAATAGCTCACGTTTTAAGGGCTGAATTTTGCCTAGAGACACATGTGCATGGCTCCTAGGGTATGTCTAAACTACATGGCTCCGTTGGCGGAGCCATGTAAAATAGTTTACTTGGCATAGTCAAAGAAGTGGGGTTTACTGGAGAGGTCGACAAAGGCTTCCCTTGCTGACCGCGCCGTGTCTAGACTACCGCGCTGTGCTGGATCAGCTGATCGTCGGCACAGTGTGACGGCCATTTTTATTTTAATGAAGCAGGGATTATTTAAATCCCCACTTCATCGACTATGCTGAGTAAACTATTTTACATGGCTCTGTCGACGGAGCCATGTAGTCTAGATGCACCCCTACTGGTTGGACCTCCCTGGTTCGGCACCCTGAGCAATCCTGAAGGAGGGAGTTTGCCAGGCCAGGGCAGGTCAGGCCTCAGGGTCTTCTGGGGTCCCCTCCCAGCTGAGGGCCCAGCCAATGCCCTGTTCTGCTGGTAGGACTCCATTCCAGGCCGCAGTCCCACTCACTTCCTGGCCAACGGGACTCCCCACCCAGACCTGCTCTGGCTGCTGGCCTGCTGGCTGGGCTCCCTGTCCCTAGTCCCCTGGCCCTGCAGGGTGTCTACTGCCAGACCAGCTGAGCTCCCAGCCACTAGCAGTCTCTGTGGCTGGGGATCTCTGGTGCATCCACGTGATGTTGCTGGACCAGAGAGTCCCGGACCACAGAGGTTCAACCTGTACTGGACTGAAATCAGTGGGCAACCACCCAAGGGCAGAACTTGGGCTGTAGTGAAATAAACTGATTAATTCATGTATTTGTTTAAATGATGGAGGATCGCTACAGCAGGAAGTGAGCTGTTTATTGTTTAGTCTATGCAGTGAGCAGCAATTTTCATTAGCACTAATAATACTTTGCAGTTATTTACTCCTTACAAAATGAGGTTTAAGGGTTCTTTCGAAAGAAGAGTTTTTTTTCGAAATAACCCCGTCAAGACTGCATGGGTTTTTTTCAAAATAGGGTATTTCGAAAAAGCGCCCGGACACCATTATGCAAATGAAGAGTGGGAAATTCAAATCCGCGTTTCATTTGCAATTTCGCTCGGCTGTATATACATTCCTCTCTCGAAAGAGGCATGCAGTGTAGACATACCCTAACAGACTACACCAACGCTGCACCACAGCTTCGAAGGAGAAGTGAAGAGCACTGGGTAGAACTGAAACAGCCGGGTGGGAGTTAATATAAATACTCATAACCCCAGAATGCAATTAACCCCCTCTAGAATTTGGCAAGAATTCTGGGGCTACTGCTCCTAGTCTTATCAAAAAAGCCATTGGAGATTTAATTACTACAAATGGCCAGGACTGCTGGCTTACATCTCACCCAGAAGTAGATGGAAGCATTGGCTCAGAACTGACCCACAGGAAGAATGCCACCTACTGAGTCCCCAGCACTTCCTGCAGTAGTCTCTGGCCATCTCCCTTCTACAAACTGACCAGGCCCAACCCTGCTTGGTTTGTCAGGTCTGAGGCACCAAAGTGCAGAGGTAGAGCAGGCATAGATCAAATTTTATCTTTTCATTAACTAGGGAGTAGCTAGGACTAGAAGTAGGCAAATATACTCCTAACATTCTAGCGATTGTCTAGTGAGCCTTTTAAAGACATCCCCAAATGTTTCAAAAGCAGCTCGCGAGAAGCTGCATGCCTGTAATCTAGCCCTTGTTAAAACTGATCCAAATCATTTGCTTATCCCTTGTTTAGAGGACTGACAAACCATTAGTATAATAAAACTTTTGCTTAGGAATACGTTCCGGAGCAATGATGGCAGATAATGGTGTTATACACAGACTATTGTCAAGGATTAAACTGTTGTACAGAGAAGTGAACACAGTTTTGCATTTTCCCATGGTCACTGATAAGACTGTGGTGGATGTTGGCTAATGCTTAGTGTTTAATCCTCAAGGGAAAAATAATCAGTCCAATGATTGCCAAAGATCAACCCAAAGAGAAGCTAGAAAGTATGCAACAGCTTAAGATGTCCTTGTGAGTGACTGCACATGACAATGTAAACAAAGACATGGCATGATGTGGCAGGTACAGTAGGTTTTTCTTCCAACAGAGACGCAAAAACACAAAGGTGGGTAAGCAATGGCTGTTGCAATGAGCTGACGGTACCTTGTTTTTGCACTCCTGTGTTCTTGGTGACTCCACCGCAGAGTGCTTGAGGACAGGAAGGCAAAGCATGTTAAACCACAAAGCCAGGCTGTGCTTTTTCATGAAGAGTGAAATGCACAAAGGAATTTGATTCTGCAAGCATTACACAGAGTAATTTTTGCTCCCAGGACTAGTCTCAGAAGTTCAATGATACTATTTGTGTGAATACGTCATACTCAGAACATGGGTTGCAGAATTGAGGCTTTAGAAATTAGTTGGCTAGAACTGAAATTTGCCACTGTCTGAGGTCTCTGCAGTGACAGAAAGCTGGACATGCGAGATATGCACACTTGACCGTAAAAGATGTTCCTTCCTCAAGACACCAGGTCTCTGTCCCTATGTGTGTGGGGGAAATTCATTCCTGACCCGAAATACTGACCCCACCTTAGAATACAGGCAACAACACAGCTGGGATAGTCTCTCCAAAAGTGATATTCGGTAAGGCCAGAAATACGTTAATAACATTTGTGCGAATGGAGCAGCCTCTCACACAGAACAGACTCTAAAGCATGAAAGGTTCAAAAAAAAAACACCCCGCCATGATCACTGAAGCTGTAATATTTTGCATAACTGTCAGGCATGCCAGACCGCATGATTTTCATGTTGCTAATCAAATGTCCATGATTTTTGACAGTTGGGCATTTTCGCAAGAAGCTGATTATTCTGCTGAACAACTACAAAAACCTCCTGTGGAGTCTCAGGAGAGGAGCACAGAGGTCTGGAAAGGAGGCTGTCATTTGGGAGCAGGACAACACTGCAGGGACCAAAAGGGTGGACTCACAATGGAGGAGTGTGGCTCTGTATAAAAAAGGACAGGAAGGAGGACTAAGTGGCTAAAGCACTAGACTGAAGCTCAGGAGACCTGCTTTCATTATGTGAGCTTGGAAAAGTCACTCCATCTACTCTGTGCCTCAGTTCCACATCTGTAAAATGGGGACAATACTTCTCAAGGTGATACGGTCCAGATCGTATGAGGCAAGCTATTGGGTCTAATAAAGCATGTAAGCAGGTGCTTAATTGTAATCATGTGAGTTAGTCCCATTAATTTCAGCAAGACTATTCACATACTTAAAGTTAAGCACATTTTTAAGCACTTTACTGAATTAGGGTCTATAAGGAGAGAGCTGATGGCAAAGCACTCCGAAAACATAGAGGGCTTGATTCAACACTGAGTCACTCCTGTTTTACACTGGTATTACTTCATTGACTTCAGCAGAGTTACATGGGCATAAAATAGAAGTAAAATGTATGAATCAGGCCCAAAGACTTTGGACCAAAAATTAAAATGTACAAGAGTCTTAGGCCTTACTTACCTGTAAGGTCAAATTAAGATATGCAACTCCAGCTATGTTAATTGTGTAGCTGGAGTTAATGTACCTCAATTTAACGTTTGGCTCTGCCTCCATAGAGGGAGATCAATGGGAGCAAATGGTTCCTTCAACTTCCTTTTCTTCCCATGAATCAAGGAGTACAGTACTGGCATCAAGGGGGCGCTCTCAGCATTTGATATATCAGGTCTTTACTAGACCTGCTAAATCAAACTCCAGAAGATTGACCACCGCAGCATCAATCTTCCCAATAGTGGAGACGTGGCCTCTGACTACAAAAAGGATTCAGGGTGGGGGACAGTCACTAGCTAAGCATATAAGTGGTGATGATGCTCCCAACAGAAACTATGGGCCCAATTCTAAATATTCTCACATCTCCCACTGGAGACAATGGATGTTGTATGCACACATATGAGGGAAGAGTTCGGCCCTATAGTCAAAAGCCTGGGGCTTCAAAACTAATTTTACTTGTTAGCAAACAAATCTTGAGCTTTTCTTATTTGTTGCCATTGTTTCTGGGACTTATGGCACTAACACTATGACACTACAGTCTTCCCCAATATTTACTCCAGCAAACGCTACCACTCTCCTGAAAGGAAACCAAGGGATCAAACTCACACCGGGATCGCTGGATGCTCTTCTAGTGATTTTACTCGAGTCTTTGCGTGGCCTTAAATTCTTTCTTTCTTTTTGTATTCAACTCCCATTTCTTACTCTAGTGACCCCAGAATACCAGCTCCTTTTCTCTTAGGGTATGTGTACACTTGCACCCTAGTTCGAACTAGGGATGCAAAGTGTAGGCATTCGAAATAGTCAATGAAGCGGGGATTTAAATATCCCGTGCTTCATTAGCATGATCTCGCAGATGCGTTACTCCGATCAACAGCTGTTCCGAAAAGTGAAAGTGCGTGCCGGGACGTGTTAGTTCGAACTAAACTCCTTGGTTCGAACTAATGTGACTCCTCATTTTTAATCCATTTTTTGTGGAGTCACGTTAGTTCAAACCAAGGGGTTTGGTTCGAACTAACGCGTCCCAGTGTGCACTTTCACTTTAGAAACAGTTGTTAATTGCTGGTGAGATCATGCTAATGAAGCGCGGGATATTTAAAACCCCACTTCATTGACTATTAAGAATGCCTAAATTTGCATCCCTAGTTTGAACTAGGGTGCAACTATAGACATACCCTTACATAATAACTCCAGGAGCTTCAGGGGGTAGCCGAGTTAGTCTGTTACAGAAAAAACAACAAATGGCCTGGTAGCGCTTTATAGACTAATGAAATGTATAGATGGTATCATGAGCTTTCGTGGGCACGGCCCACTTCTTCAGATGACCGAAGTGGGCTATGCCCACAAAAGCTCATGATACCATAATAACTCTAGACTCTCATTGTTCAGTTCAATATACTCTGGTTTCATCCATTTTCAGTGCATTCATCTGATGCATCTTCATTATAATTTTATCTTTTGGTGCCTGGGACATTTATTCTTTCAACATGCTTCCTTCTTTTCCAAAAGATTCATTTAAAAGGTCTGAATTATAAGCTTCTCTCAGTGGGCTTGGCTGACATGAGAATCATTTAATCAAGATTTCCCAACTTTATCTTTACAATAAACAGAGATTATTTTCCAATTAGTTATATCAATAATTCCGTCTCTTTCATCAGCCTAAGGAAAATACATTGTTAACATCAGAGTCAGTAGTGGCTAGCAGTATTATGGACTGGGACAATGTGAAAGAGGAAGAGTAGCTTGGTTACTGCAACTGGGAAAAGTCCAAGACTCAAGAGTAGCAAAAGTTCCCATCTGGGAGAATTCTATGCTGCTGAGCAAGCGCACAATTAATGCCCCCCACGCAGATTTTTCTTCCCACAGAATAATTGATTCTGAGAGGGAGGCAAAGGGAAGCCATGAGAGGGGTCATACGGCATCTACATCTTTTGCCCAGCGGGGGATCATTTGGCTTCAGAAGAGCTGTTTTCTGGGCTGAAGTAGTGAGCTGCAGAAAGGAGGGCATAGAAGCTGCCATCCTCACAGCATCCTGCCCACAGGGCCAGGTGAGGAGGCAGGGGATATGGGAGGGCAGACAGGTGAAGAGGCAGGGGATATGGGAGGGCAGACAGAGTGGGGCACACGGCGCTACATGGGGTACATACACTGAGGTTTAGAAGGGTCAATGAGAGGAACGGACTAGGATAGGGGCACAAGAACTAGAGGGGTGTCAACAATGAGCCAGGGACTGAATGGGAGTAGAGGTTCTGGGCCACGGGAGAAGCAGGGATGCAGGGTGATATGGCGATGGAGTGGATGGGGGTTCGGGGACACATGGGGATAGAGGGAGCAATGCCTGGCTGAATGAGCATGCAGAGCCACGTGCGGAAAGGGGAAACTGGAGGTGCAGGACTACATGGGGACATGTGCAGGTATTAATGTTGAATGGGAAACGGGGGTGCAAGGATACACAGGGATGGGGCATGTGTGCCTGACTAAACAGGAGAGCCTAGGGGTCAGTCAGGATCTCCATGGGGGAGGCTTCCTAACTCCCTGACAATCCCCCCTCCCAAAACCATTCCATACATTTCCCACCTACAACCAACAATTCTCCAAGGTTCACTTCCAGGCTCCTTCCCAGCTAGTAAGTCCCTCTACGCTCGGCTACTCCATTATCCTGACTCCCCAAAGCCTTTGCACTGCGTCTGAAGGGCGTGGGAAATACATTTCTGTATTGTAGTTTAAATGAATTATTACTCAAAGGTCAGTATTTATATGCCTACAAGGAATCTATTAGCCCCAAAACTTTTCCTGAATCTTTTTTGTTTTCTGTATTGTTACAAACATACCTGCTAACAGATATTTTGAAATAAATTACTAACAATTGAAACCTAGCAAGATTATACTTACAAAATAATGCAGAATTTTAATAGATTGTATGCAGAATTTTTAATTTTTGGCACAAAATTCCCCAAGTAGCAAAAGGTACATTTTTTATCTAAAAAACCCTGAATGTCAGGGCCACCCTGAGATATTAATATGGAAAATAAGCCAGTGCCCTTCAGAGAATCAGAACAAAAGGGTACGGAGCCTTATTCTGATATCACTTTACACTGATGAAACACCGTTGATTTCCCTAGAGTTATTTGTGATTTAGGCTGGTATAAATCCCCATCTGCCCCTTGATTTCTGTAATGTATTTGCATATTAATAATGCTGGCAAGGCCCAATTTGCGACTGGCAGACTTCTTTTATTTCAGCAGAGTTGCTATACGCTGATGCTGTGCTGAACAGGTCCCTCTGTCTAGATGGTGCTTTGCGTCTTCAAAGAGTTTTTACAGTCAATAACTAGCCTATTTAATAGCGAGAGCTGGCATTTTAATTGCATCTCCAGAAGCTGCTTTACAAATGCTAAGGGCATGTCTAGACTACATCCCTCTTTCGAAAGAGGAATGTAAATTAGACAGATCAAAATTGCAAATGAAGCCGGGATTTAAATTTCCCGTGCTTCATTTGCATAATGGTGGCCGCACGTTCTTTCGAAAAAGGGCTTTTTGAAAGTAAAGCCTCCGTCTAGATGGGGTTCTTTCAGGAAAAAAAAACTTTTTTGAAAGATCTTTTACTCCTCCCAGTGGGGACTCTTATACATTTCAAAGTTGGCTGCTGCTGCTGCGCCCTGTCCCCTCC